ATATATATATATAAAACTTGTTATTATAAGTTTTCTCATTTCTTGAGTAGTAGTACTATTCATGCATGCATGCATGCATGAATGCATGTGGCTTGCAAATAAAATGTAGCTTCGAGACAATCATATATATATATATATATTCTTAAACAACATACTTTGATGACAAATAAACATGTGATGGACAGATTTACTGTCCAAAATATGGGGCACATGAACCTATATTCTCTCTATCAAACTAAGTATTTTATGTATAGAATTGATCTAATATTATTTGTTTGCCCTCATGTTCTAAGAAGGTTGAATATCGAGTTATTTACCTAGAGGAACATGAATCAATACTTTTTTTCCCTCCTATGTTTACTGATGCACCCATATTCTATTACTAGCTGGTAGCGCCTGTGTTTTGGTTGCTCTACTTCCTAGTTGTTGTTAATACTTTTCTGACTTTTACACTACTGTATTTTTTTTCTCTGTACTATTGTGATTTGCATGCTTGCTTGGAGACGAGGGTCTACTGGAAATAACATCTTTACTTACGTAAGGTAGGGGTAATGCTGCGTACATAATACCCTCTCCAGACCCCCAATTTGTGGGATACTCTGAGTTTTTGTTATTGTTGTTGCTGTTGTTATTAGTGATACACCCATATTCAAGAAATTCTTGATCCGCCTTTGTGTGACATGTTTACATATTTGAATCAGGGTTGTGATGCATCTGTGCTATTAGATGATACATCAAGTTTCACGGGAGAAAAGACTGCTAATCCAAACAGTGGATCATTAAGAGGATTTGATGTGATTGATACTATCAAAACTCAAGTAGAGTCAACATGTGCTGGAGTTGTATCTTGTGCAGATATTTTGGCTGTTGCAGCTAGAGACTCTGTTGTTAAAGTAAGCCAAAAAATACATATGCTTAAAATATTCTATAAACTTAGTTTATAAATTAATTTTTTTAAAGTCACGGCCTTAAATACTCCTAACAGACACCCCATGCAATACTTGATGGATATTTAACTAATAAATTGTTGGTTAGGGAAAAGAAAAGAAAGTATGTTGACCTTTAAAAGCTAAGCACAAGTCAAAGTTTTGATATGCAACTTCCGTTTGGTCATAGATTTTAGTTTTATTTTTAAATTTTTTTTAAAATATTATTTGTTTATGAAATATGATCTTGTTTTGGATTTTTTTTTTTTAAAATTTTCAAGTTTCCAAAAATGGTTTAGGGCAGTTTTTGGGTGAAAATATATCTTCCAATTACAAAGCTTCAACTTTTCTTCAAATAATATACATGTTCAAATACAACTTCAACTTTCAAAATTTATTTTTCAAAACTCTTTTTTCAAGTTTCAATCAAATCAATGTCCAAACGCTAGCTAGGTACTGCATATCATTCTTAGTGTTAATTAGATGGAAAGTACATTCTAGAAACGGAGGACAACAACAACTTGAAAGTTGTTGGTAGTGTGTACGCAGACCTTACCCCTACCCTGGGGTAGAGAGGCTGTTTTCAAATAAACCCCCGACATCCTTCCCTCCAAGAACTTCCCATCTTGCTCTTGGGGAGACCCGAACTCACAACCTTTTGGTTGGAAGTGGAGATTGCTTACCATCAGAGCAACCCCTTTTGTCTATTCTAGAAACGGAGGCTTTTTCATAAAGGCTTTTTCATAAATAACCAGCCAGATTTATTATTTGCTTTCGTTAGTTGGTCTACATAAATTATATACGATTATATACATATTATACATAAATTATTTATATATTATATATTCGTTAATTATTTTTTGTTTAAGCGGTTGTGTGAACGATTATTTAGATTAATTCGTCATAAACTAATTAGGCGTGAACTTGATTGATTTATCAGCTTGGTGGCCCTAGTTGGAATGTTTTACTCGGCAGAAGAGACTCAACAACTGCAAGTTTGAGTGCAGCAAACAATGACATTCCTGCACCAACTTTGAACCTAAGCAGCCTTATTTCTTCCTTCTCTAACAAAGGTTTTAATTCGAGGGAAATGGTGGCACTCTCAGGTTTATTTTACTTCCACAAATTATTATTCTTTTTAATTTTCCTATATATATATATAGAGATTTCTACGAATGGTTATTCACTGCTTTTCATACGTAACTTTTGTACGGTTTAACATTGTCATCGCAATGATGGAGTCAGAACTTTCATTAAGAGGAGTCAAAATATAACGAAGTATACGAAAAAGTAAAGGAGATTCAATATACATCAAAATTATAACGAAGTATACGAAGAAGTATATACAATAAAAAAAATATTTATAGCTACATAGTGTATTAATTTTTAGACGGAGGGGTATAAATTGACACATCTTGGAATAAGGTGGTTGTCGATAGAGAATTTGTGGTATGTCGAAAAATATTTTTCAAAAATGATCTTTCAGATATAAGTTATTTTCTGGTGTTTGATTTTATAAGTATTTTTAGTAAAAATATTTTGCACAAAAGTGGAAAAATGACTTCCCTCACTTTTGAGCGGAAGCCATTACCTTCATTATATCTCTGCCCTTACTTTAGGTCATTACTTTAACCAACATATAAATATTATTATCAATCTTTATTACTCAAAAATTTCAAAACACACCAAGTTATTCTAAAACAATCGTCTATTTTATGCAAACAATTGGGTTCATAATCTAATATTTGTCGTTTTTCATATATTTCGTGTAAGAAATACTAGGTTCAGTAAACTCGTAACTCTAAGGCTACATCCACAAATAAAACTAAATCAAAATATTTTGGTATTTTGCAGGATCTCACACAATAGGCCAAGCAAGATGTACTACATTCCGAGATCGTCTCTACAATGAAACAAACATAAATTCATCATTTGGTACAACAATTAAAGCAAATTGTCCACAAAATGGAGGTGACAACAATCTTTCTCCACTTGACACAAGTCCAACATCATTTGACAATGTTTATTACAAGAATTTACAAAGCCAAAAGGGAATTCTTCATTCTGATCAACAACTATTTAATGGAGGCTCAACTGATTCTATAGTTAACACTTATAGTTCAAATTCAGCCACTTTTTTCACTGATTTTGCAATGGCTATGGTTAAAATGGGTAATCTTAGTCCACTTACTGGTACCAATGGCCAAATCCGCAAAAATTGCAGAAAAATTAATTAATATTTCACATAAATGAGATTCTAAAATTTGATCTCTAGAATTCTAAGTGTTATTATGTTTTTCCTTTTGTTTTATGGCAAAATTTTATGTTCTATGTTTTTGGAGGTAAAGATGGTAAAGTCCCTCTCCAATATGTAACTTTCCAAGTATTGAAATAAAATAAATAATATAATTATTCTATCTTTATATACTACTAACATATTGTTTGGAATGTATCATTTCATAATGTATCATTTCATAATGTATCATATAGTGTTATATTGTATTGTACTGTATCGTTTTGATGTATATAATATTTGGATAGATTGTGTTGTTTTTTATTTTTTCATGATGTCATGCACCAACAATATGAACAACAAATTTGCAATATTATAAAGAAAAAGTAAGGTACGAGGTAAAAAGCTAGGGTAAAGGATAAAAAGGATTATTTAATAATATGGAAGGGCAAGATGAGAGAAAAAAAATAAGAGAACGACGCGACCACACCAAATCGGTCGTTCCATAAAGTGACACTTTTTCGTCGTTACATAACAACATATTTAACAACGCGACACAATAAAATTTAAGTAACAATCAAACCAAACATTGTATTTAAAGTAATAATATGATACAATAAAATATGTAACAACCATCCAAACAAGCTGTAAACTTAATATGGCAAGAAAATCAAAGCGAGTTTGTGTATTGCACACTGAAAAATTACACCTCAAGAAATGGAAAGTATACAAAATTAGAATTACAGGATTGTGTATCTATATATGGTGCCTTACAAGAAAGGGAGAAAAAAAAAGATTACAAATTAACAGTATTCTTATCCCTAAACAGTGAACATTTGTCATCTGTTTGGTAACTTTATAATTACAATTTTTGTATAAAGATATATACTTGGGTGAGGAAAGGAAAAAGAAAATTAAATTAAAGGAATTAGTGCATATATATAACTTATGAGTCAGCCCCAACTTCTGTAGTTGAACCAATCCCAACTTGTAACCAATGAGAAGGATTTTCAGAACTTGTATTCATATCCTTTAATTCACTTAGCTTAGCTAACTTCAATTTACTGTCTGCTTCATCATCTTCTACATTTTGCGTCAAACTATTATTATTGTTATTGTTGTTATTGTCGTTATTGTTTTTGATTTCCTCAAGGTAGTAGTTGTCACTGGAATTATCTTTAGTATTCCATGGATGCAAATGTATTTCGGTAGAGACCTCGAAACTCAAAGGATTCATAGGGTCTCGTCTAACTCGTGACATGTCTTCGTGTGATGGAATGTTAAGATCTAATGCATCACCTGATTTTCTTAAGTTTGATCGTAGATTAATTTGCTCCATATGACTATGGAAATTGTATTTCGATGAATCGGGTGAATTAGAGGTGATCCAATGGCATCTTTTGTGTCCACCTAAAGCTTGCCCTGTGGAGAAAACTCTATGACATATTGAGCATTCATGGATTTTTGATTTCCTCATTGATTTTGAAGCTTGTAATGTGAATTCATCATGTATAATATTCATATCTTGATCACCAATTAAGCTATCATCTAGTTGATCTTGTTTGGCTGCATAACACCCTTTAACTTTTTTGTGACTTGCCCTATGTCCACCTAGGGCTTGGTGGGAATTGAAGACTTTCTTGCAAGCTTTGCATTCAAACAACCCTTTAGAAGAAGCCCCTTTAGCCTTGTTGTCCAAGGGTACACGAGTAGTCACTAATGGGGTGAGGTAGGTCATGGGGTTTCGTGCTCGCTCTTCCTCCTTGCTAGCTGAGGCACACGACTCCTCTGGCTCAGCCAACGATGTATCAACCCTCGCGTTGGCTAAATCTATAAGACATTTTGCAAGGAGAAGATCATCTTCCTCACTTGATGGATAAGTTGAAGTACTAAGGGTTCCTACTTTTGTTCTCAATGACCTCTTCCTTTTAGACCATCCATACCCTTTTCTTTCACCATTAGTAATGTACTCCTCGCCCTCTGAACAGGGCGAGGATACTAGTGATTCTTCTACATCTTCTGAGCTACATTTTCCATGCTCAAGAAAAGATTTCCAGGACGAGAATTCTTTCCCACAATTCTCACATACCCTATTGCTCTTTTGTCGATTAGGGTTTGTTCTTAATTGATACATCCTCTTATTACCTCCCTTAACACTCCCTCCAAACTTATCTTCCCAATCACTAGCTGGATCATCATCATCCAAATTTGCACCTTCATCTCCAATTCCATGAGCTCTCATATGCCCACCTAGAGCTCTCCCACACACAAAACCTTTCTTGCAAACCCTACAATAATGCTTAAAAACCGGTTGTTGTTGTTGTTCTTGATCTATACAAGCCATTGCTTAAATTTTATATTTTTTCATTAAATATACTACTTTAAAGTATGATTCAGAAGAAACACAAGAAATAAGAAGCAAATGTACATGCATGGGAGAGTTTGTTCTCTTGTACTAGAAGTTGTTATGGACTTGTACGGTTAGAAAAAGTTAGTCCTAGTTTTTAGTTGGAGTAGTGGTTTAATTTGTGGAGGAGAGTTTAGAGGTAGAGAGAAAAATAGGAGTGTGAGTGGAAGTGAGGAGTGAGAGTTGACAAGTGGAAGGATAATGTAGTGAAGGACTAATTTTTCTTTTACAGACTTTTTATTAACAACCAAATGGACGGCGCAAAAGATTAATCTTACACATAATGGCGTCATTAGAGTAAAAATTATACTTAGGTTTATTTATTCTTCTTCTTCTTCTTATTATTATTATTATTATTATATATATATAGATTCGCTGAACAGCCGCAAATAGGGGACATCAAATGAACAAATATGGTTATATTTGGGCATGTTAAAATTAGTTAGATCAATAAGTGAGTTGACCTATAAACCGTACAGTGTTTGCTTGATCAAATTGAAACGGGTCAATTTGGCTAAGCATTGGGTCATAATTCTAATTTGTTTGTTGTGTCTTTTGTATTTTGTTTATATAATTATCAAAATACGAGAAGGAAGTCAAAAAAGATGCAAAGGAAAAGAGAGGGGCATTTGCAACTATACCCAGTTTTGGGGTCACAATTAAAATTATATTTACTTTGCAAAAAAAATTGCAAGCGTACCATTTTAGGATAAATTTTAGACTTAACGGGTCTGAAGTTAGAAAAAAATAGAAACAATCTGAAGTGCAATGCACTTAAGGCCAATTAAGTCTAAAATGCAAAAATTACACTTAAGATGCACTTAAGGCCAAATAGATCTGAAGTACAACAAATGTTTTCATGCACTTAAAGTCAAGTAGGTCTGAGTGAAAAAATAGTACTTCAGATGCACTTAAAGTCAAATAGGTCTGAAGTGCAACCGATGTTTTCTTGCATTTATGGCCAAATAGGTATGAAGTGAAAAAATTATACTTCAGATGCACTCATAGCCACGTAAGTTTGAAGTGCAAATTGCCCAGAAACAGAAATTTGTTCTTCGAATTTCAACAATCCAATATATGATTGAAAACTTAAATATACTCCAAATGAGCTCAAATTTGAAATATAACCTCCAAATATCATCAAGAACAAAAACCTCGATCATCAGTTTGTCAAAATAACAACAAATATAACAATATCGTTTTACAATTAAGAAAAAAAGAATAAGAAGAAACCCTAAGCAGTAGTAAAAATAAAGTGCCCTTGCAGCTCACCATTATAAATACCATAAACCACCTTAAACTAAATTTGAAATAAACCACCATTCCTGATTTCCTGTTTCATGGCTCTAAAACATCAAAAAACGAGGAACTCATACCTCCTGCATGGGCTCGAGTGACCGGACCCGAATTGCCTAAAATATTGTCGATCCATCAAAAAATGACCTGAGGAATAATAATCATTGCCTCGTCGTGACCGTTACTTGTATTTTGACATTTTGGGGCCATAAAATTAGAATTTCGCCTAATTTCCTGATTTTCTTGTGCTATAGCCCAAATCTCCTGCATAGGCCCCGACGACCGGACTCGGATCGCCTTAAAGTTTGCTGACGCATCAAAAATGACCTAAGAAACAATAGTCACCGCCTTGCCATGACCATTACTCATTTTTTGGCATTTTAGGGTCATAAAATTAGAATTCCGTCTGATATCCAGATTTTCGTGTGCGCCCACGCCTCCTGCATGGGCCCAGACGACCGAACCCAGATTGCCTAAAAAAATTTTGACCCATAAAAAACGACCTAACGAACAATAGTTACCTCCTCGCCATGACCGTTACTCGATTTCGAGCATTTTAAGGTCATAAAACTAGAATTTTACCCATTCCTAGATATTCGTGTGTTATAGCCCACGCCTCCTACATGGGCCCGGGCACCAAGACCCGATCGCCTAAAAAATTTCCGACCCATCAAAAATGATCTAAGGAACAATAGTCACTGCCTCGCTATGATCGTTACTCGTTTTTTGGTATTTTAGGGCTATAAAACTAGAATTTCGCCTGATTCCTAGATTTTCATGGGCTATAACCCATGCCTCCTGAATAGGCCTGGGCGCCAGGACTCGATTTCCTAAAATTTTGTCGGTCCATCAAAAAATGACAAAGGGAAAAATAGCCACCGCCTAGCAACGACCATTACCCGTTTTTTGTGTTATAGAGCCATAAAACTAGAATTCTACTTGATACCCAAATTTTCATGTGCTATAGCTCACGCCTCCAATATGGGCCCGAGCAACCGGTCCCAGATCGCCTAAAATTTGTCGGTCCATAAAAAATGACCTAAGAAAAATAGGCACCGCCTTTCCATGACTGTTACTCATTTTTTGGCATTTTAGGGCCATAAAACTGCCGGATTCCTAGATTTTCATGTATTATAGCACATGCCTCCTATATGGGTCCGGGCGACTAGATCCGCATCGTCTATAATTTTGCTGGCCAATCAAAAATAACCTAAGGAACTATAGTCACCGTCTTGCCTTGACCATTACTCATATTTTGGCAATTTCGGGACATAAAATTGAAATTCCGTCTGACTCTCTGCTTTTCTTGTGCTGCTCACGCCTTCTTCATGGGCCCGACGACAAGACCTGGATCGCCCATTATAAAAGACATAAGAAATAATAGTCACCGCCTCACCATGATTATGCTCGTACTGCATGGGCCTCCTGCATGGGACTGTGAGACTGGACTTAGAATGCCTAAACCTTTTCCGG